ATGGCGGGAGGTTAGAGAACAACTTGAGATGTCCTTGCTGAGGTGCTCTAAGAAGGTCTGACAGTGATTAGCTTTGCGTTCAAGGTCGGTTTCGAACCGTTGCCTCTTCAGGGTGACGTTGAACCCGGTCAGCCATAGGTTCGGGTCTTCCATCCCGTTGTAGTATGGGAGTTTCAGCTTGATCGTCGCGCCGAGTCGAACGTCTGTAATCCGTGAGGCGAACGCGTTGCGTTCAGCGTCTGACAGTATAGTCGAGATCTCGGGTGCTGAACTGGTGGCGCGATGGACTTGAGATCCGATTGCTTTAATCTGCTGGTGCAACCTCGCGATCTCAGAATTCAGTTTGTCGGAGGGTTCCTTATTAACTGGTGCTGCGCCCTGAGTGTTGGCTTGCTCTGGTGTCTCGAAGACCAAGCGTCGCCCTAGCGGTTCCGATCTCGCGGTGGTCGCGGCTGCCAAGGTGCTGAGTTACTTGTCATACTTCGCATGCTGGGCCTGAAGGGTGTCTAGCTTGAACACCAGGTTTTGTGTGAGAGGGAGTAAGGCGGCTTGGATTACTGCTGCGAGGTCAATGGCGAGGATAGGAGCTGAGGGTGCTCCCGCGGGTGGATTCGCGGTGGTAGGATTGTTATGCTCGTCGAGGCCAGATGTCTCTGTATGCGTGGTGGTGTCCTCGTTGTTGAGGGTGAGGTCGCTGTTATTGATCGGAAGGCTCATCGCTTCGGCTTCTTAGTCGCTGGTTTTAAGAAATTTATTCTCCTAGTCCCCACAGACGGCGCCAACTGTTGAACCAGAAAATCACCACTAAGGATTTGATTAACAGTTGTGGGTTTTGGAGAATAAGATCTTTTATTGATAGCTGTAAAGTGTAGCGATTACAAGAGTTGGCTTAACCGAGAGGTTATGCCGAGATGAAAAGAAAGTGTTTGCGAAATAAACTAGAAAGCGTTGGAGTTCTTGGTTTTAGCTCTGCTGCTCTCTAGGTTGTATGAGTTTTTGTTTTCAGCTTCGGGGTCTTCTTATTTATAGGGATAGGAGGTCGGTTGCTCCGAACTTCTTTTCCTTTTCCTTTTGGTGAATATTTCCATGTTTGCGATATGGAAATATTCCTTATTCTCCAAAGAATATGAAAATTCTCCTTTATCCTTCAAGTTAATCCGATGCTTCCGGACTTCGAAGATTATCTCTAGGATTTTTTCTTTTCTCTGAGCTAGGTCGGCATAGTCTTCTTGGTCTTGGTGGGCTTAGGTTATTGCTAGAGAAAGCTTTTTAGGAAATGTGCTCATTTCCCCTCTAACAGTTATCCTGTTTAAATGGGCTTGAGTGACACAATCCTGAATACTGCTTAGAACTTGGTTTATTAAATTTCGTCTCTTAATCTAGCTTGACATAAACGGACAATAATAACCATAATGTGTTAAACAACTTCCTAACGGATTAATTAAACCCATATCGCAATACTACATCGGGTTTTAGCCGATATTGGAGTATTGACCCATAAGGTTAAGAATCAGCTCGTCAAATATGAATCCTAAGACCAAAATCTCACGAAAACGTTTCTATGAACTCGGTCAGAAATGGCACCACAAAGAATGATGGAAAGTTGTTTGATAAGCTGGTTAATCACTTGGATATTACATATCGAACATCAAAAGGGTCACAAGAAACTCACGGAGAATCAATCTCACAAAAAAAAAAGAAATATTTGATTAAAAATAAATATATTTGCAAATATAGATCACATGAATATGTAGAATAACAAAGGTTGAAAAGAAAGTTAAATAATTAATTTTCTTAAAAATAAAATAAGATTAGGAAAAAAAAACAAAAATAAAGAGGGTTGGCTGCCGTCAGCCCCCTAAACTATACATTGTCTACTTAAAACCCTCCAAACTACCGACCTCTCTATATTTCCACCCAAACAATTGTTTTTCTGCCTATTCCCCCAAATTCAATTAGAAATTAAAATCGCGATCAATTTACGAAATCGCGTTTTGGTTAGATTGCGTTTTGGAGGGAAATATGCAGAAAACAAATTGTTTGAGTGGGAATATACGGAAGTGTAGTCTAGGAGGGAATATGCAGAATTTATTAAGCTCAGGGGGCTGAGCGCAGTCAATTTAATTTTTAAGTTTTTCAAAATATTTAACACATTATTAGCTTAATTATATCCATAATATATATTTGTATAATAACACTTCTTTCTACTAGCACTTCAAATAAAATACGTGTAAAGTAAACCAATTGTGTATAGTAAAGTAAATTTAAAGAAATAGTTTCTCTTATTAACACTTCAAATATACGTGGAACAATAGGATAATAAACTTATATTAATTAAATGGTACCATATCAAATAAATAAGTTGTGTAATGTTAAGTAAATCTCAAAATATATTTCATGCAATCCTCCTATTAGCAATTTAAATAAAAATACTCGAACCATGAATGGTCTAGAAGAGGTTTCAACTCTCTTTCTAACCACTCACTACTCATATGTATTAATTTAAGCACAAGAGGTACATATATTTAAGTCTGAAGTCTCTAACCTATCTGTGTTATAAGTTATTAATGGCCTGATTTAACAACACATTCGTTTATTTCAGGGATTTATAATGAAAATACTCGAACCATTAGAATGATAAACTTGCATTAGTTAAGATTTTTAATGTCAAGTAAATAAGTCCTATGATATCGAGTATATCCGAAAAAATAGTTTTTCTCTATTAGTATTTCAAATCAAAATTTTAAAACAATAGAATAATATGTTTATGTATGTATAATAACTAATGTTAGTTTTGTTTTTTAATTGTGCTGTCATATTGCTACCACTTTTAATAAAAATATACATTTATTTTATTACACAAATATATATTATGGATATAATTAAGCTAATCATGTGTTAAATATTTTGAAAAACTTAAAAATTAAATTGACTGCGCTTAGCCCCCTGAACTTAATAAATTCTGTGTATTCCCCCCTAAACTACACTTTCGCATATTCCCACCCAAAAATTTTGTTTTCTGCATATTCCCCCTCTCCAAAACGTAATCTACCTAAAACGCGATTTCGTAAATTGATCACGATTTTAATTTTTAATTGAATTTGGGGAAATAGGCAAAAAAAAAAATTGTTTGGGTAGAAATATGCAGAAATCGATAATTTAGAGGGTTTTAAGTAGACAATGTATAGTTTGAGAGGCTGACGGCAGCCAACCCAAATAAAGAGAGTTAAGTGGAAATATAACTATTGGCTTTCAAATGACTCTTAATCTTCAATTTTCTACACTTCTTTTTCCTGGTAAATTTAGTCATTTATTTTGGGCTTTCTTTTCGTTTAAAATTCGTTGGACTTGATAGATATCATCTCTAAACAAATTGTAAATGATTTCCTTGTCCATCATTGATTGTCTAGGCCTGTTAAGTGAACCTTGAAGTTGTTTGGTTCGTGTCATTGTTATTTTTCAAATGGTACGTACAATGCATCCTCTTCATCATACTTGCTGCTCATGATGTCCTCATCACCTCCCTTGGACAACAATTTCAGTGTCCACCCAATAATCCATTTTTATTGATGGTCTACTAGAAAATTTAAATTTTCATTCGCCCCTCACAGGCTCTCTGGTATTCAAAGATAGGTCTCTATTCCACCTCTATTTAATATTTCTAGTGCTTGATAAACTTCGTTCTATGTTGCTATCTCAAATGTACGCCCAAATTATAGTGACGATTTATAAAAATTTATCTGTTGTCCAAAAATTATTCTCTCAATCTCCTATTTTAGTTATTTTTTAAGTTTTTTATTCTTATTCCATTTTATTTGATTTTCTCATATATTTATATATAAATTATTAATTTTTTAATGATTTTTTGAGTTTACAAAGAACATAAAATATATATCCAATTATCCATATCCATATGTTTATCCATAAAGATAAATGTAGTTTATTGACAGTTGATAAAAGTGAATGGCTCAATTTTACGTTTGTTTACTTATTTAATGTATGGTGGTAATTAATTTTTGTTTTTGGTAACCGAGTTATTATTATAGACTAGGTGATAACCAGTTTATACATGCGGGTTTTATATATTTGATACTCTCTCTGTTTTCTTTTATAAGATGTTTTAGAAATTTTTTTTGTTCATAATTAGATGATGTTTTCAGAAGTCAATGCAAAAAGTAATTGTTTTATTCTATATATTATTTTTCTATTGGTTAAATTGTTTTGGAATTGATATTTTATTTTGGAAAAAGAAAAAATTAAATAACTTCTTAATCTCTGTGCAAAACCTTAAACATCATATATAAAAAACGGAAAGAATATTTTTTAAAAGTTTTGATTAATATATTATTTTTTTTTATTAATATAATATTTTATCTTAAATATAGTAGTAATATAATTTTGAATTTGCTAACTATGTAAATATATAAATATTATCTGAGCTTATACAAAAATTCAAATCGAAAAATCTGAACTTTTTGTCTGAACTTATAAATATGTAACAACTTTTGTCTCATATACACGCGAATTTATAATTTATTATATATTTTTGAGTTTATGATTAATATAGCATTTTATTTAAGATTTAATGATGAAATAATTTTAAAGTTGTTAATTATATAAATACAAAAATATTTTTTGAATTAATCTATATACTCTTTTAATTATAGTTTTTTTTAAATTTTAATTTCTTCATACTAAAATTCTCCTTAAAGTAATTTATTTTCATCATTGAATATGCATTTTATACATGCATTTTTTTACTAAGATATATTGTTATAACCTTATATATTAATGAGTGATTAATAAATTTTGTATCATTTTCGTTAAAAAGAATTCAAGAATTTGATTTAAAAAAATTAATATTTTTTTACTACTCCAATTTTTTTTAAGATGCAGTTAACCAACATTAGTATCACTCGAATTTCTATGATCACTTTATCTATATTATTTTATATATTTATATTTTCACAAACTTTAGTTTTAATTATAACTTTATTGGTTGCAAGAACTGAAAGAATTGATGAAAAAACTATTATATGTTTTTCAAACATAAAAGAGACAAAAACAATATGTTTTTCAAACATAAAAGAGACAAAAACAATTAGATATTAAATGGGAGTTAATAATAATTTATTACACTTACCCGCTATGTAATGACTTACATTCACTATGTTAAATTTTCTCGTATATACTCATATACTCTTTCTACTAAATACTATCAACAGCTGGTATCAGTAGAAGTAGTCATTCTTCAAAGAAGAGATAGAAAAAGCAAACTTGAAAAGCTAAGAGAGTTAAACATCTCAACATCAACTTGGTGAATCCGATTTTTGTAGGTGACATATTCCATTTTGATCTTGATTTGGCTCAGTTGTTACGTTTGATTTGAATCTTCAACCATTTAAGTACTCTCCTAAAGCTGGTATCAAAACTTTCCGTCTTTGCATCAGTCCTCATTTCTTCGCTTAAGCTCTTAGATCTTCACACTCTCACAACAACTTGCTTTTTAGAGCAATTCAGAGTTTCACACTTCACTACTACAAAATTAGAACCTCTTGTGTTAGCTTTTTGTAACAAAATTAAAATCTCTTGAGAATAAGACTTTTATGCAGACCTCATCTCAACTACGATCCCAAAGGAGATCCAAGTTTCTAACTTTTCTTCTTATTCCTTCAAAACTTCTCAAGAGAGCTTGTGAACCATCGCAGAAAGAGAGATGTTGCTAATCAGGTTAGGAGTTTCTCAAAGACAACGCTCTATTTTGTATGTTGGCATCGTTTGAGGGAAGACAGTGTGATGAGTGTTACTGTGTATCAGTTTCGTTCATTTATATCCACTCTTCATAAATCAGAGCTTGGCAGGAGAGTTGGAGAAATAAACGCTTCGTGTGAGCCTGTCTCCACTCCGGTTCAACCTAAAAACCAGAGAAAAAAAAGAGTGCATTGATCATCAATACATCAACAACGATAAGATATTATTGGACTATCCAATTCAGAAGGTCAAACCTCCAATCACCGTTCTATACAATCCCGGCTTCTTGAATAGTCACCGCTTCGATAGTACCCAACAGCAAAGAGATAGAGCTTCTCCCTTAGTTTCATCGGACTTGAATCACTAACCACAGAAGCTGCACAAAGCTAAACATTTCGCTGCAATCAAACCAATAACATGGATTCAAATCATATCAGCCTTTGGACGAATTTTACGGTAGCTGAGATTCCATATATTTTAAACATCCACAGGGAAACAAAATTGTAGATTGTAAATATACAAGTTATTTATCTTCAAGCATAGCTATCCCACGCTGTATATCCGCGGGTATCTTTGAATGAACAAGAGCCCACGATTGGCGCATGATGCATTTCTTCTCAAGCCCTTCATCTTGGCCTTTCTGGGCTTCTGCAAGCTCTTTCAGATAAACACGAAAGAAAATCAAACATCCGAAGAAAATGAAGGAGGTATCAAAACAATTGGAAAATCGTAATCTCAAGGTTCTATGCGGTCAATTTGGAGGAACAAATGGAGAATCATAAAAGTTATCGAGATGATGTTGGCGTCGCACAAGGGGATCTCATCGCCCGAGGCAGTGCCGGAGAAGCCAGAGACGAATCGACAAACTTTCCAGTCGTCGTATAAATCGTTTCTTTATTTAACACAGAAAATCATAATAGAAATTTACATAATAGATCGTCGGCCGAGATCAATCTTGTTATCAGGCACATACTTCGTCGGGCTTCCACGCTTCTTCTTAACCACCGGCTCCATCGCAGCTACTGGCAGAGAAGCAAGAAGAGGAGGAGCCGGCGGCTGCATAGTCGGAGAACAAGAAGCTCTGCCCATATGAATCCCATGGCTGAAATCCTGATGATGTCTCTGCTTCCCCAAGGGAGGGAACGGTGGCTGGAATTAGGAAAAGAGTGCTGCAGCGGCTGCTGCTACTGTAAATTAGGGTTGGACAGTGGCTTAAAATCATGCAACACGTGGAGGGCATTCGTAGATTGAGAAGCCGGGATTGAAGTGAAAGCTCCTCTTGCAAAGCAGAAAGTAGGGGGTGCGATCCTGGGAATGCCATTGCTTCTCGAGATCAGGTGATTGATCCATAGTCAAAAATCATCGAAAATATATGGTTGATTGAATTGCAGAAGAAGACGCTTCTAGAGATGCTAGATTTTGTTTGACTGAAATAATTTCAAGAAAGTTTTTTTTTATTGTATTTTATTTTTTGATGATGATGTGTCAGAAAGAGTCACAACCCAACTTTTATATAACAGTCGAGCTATGTATGAATCTGTATTAATAGTTTGGTTTAATTTTTCCTAGTTACTATCTTTAAAATTATTACTAGTATTATATATTTATAGAAATTTTCAGTTATATAAAAAAATTTCATACATAATGTGTAAGTTTCACCTATTTTTATTTATAAATTTTAAAAATTATTAAGTAAAATAATAACAATAACACATATCGAATTATTCAACTTTGACGTACATATACATTTTATTTAGAAAAATATTTTATTGCTACAATTTTGGTATTATTTTCTGTTTTCTATAAAATTTCTATAGTTCTTTTTTCTTGAAGGTTTATGTTTTCAAATATTCAGTTTTTTTATTGAAAATCTTTTTGATGTTGTGTACCACTGCATATATAATATATAATTCATATTGATTCGCATTTAGTTTTGTTCGGAAGCTGCAATGATCATGCAAAACCATTTTTTTCTTCTCCATCATGTTTTCCAAGAGTTTTATGTTATATTTTTATTTAGTTTTCATTGATATCTATTTTTTTTTATTTTTTAACATAATTTTTGGTTAAAATTTTTTTTCTAATGAGATTTATGATATCTATCTTCCAAGAGTTTTATGTTATATTTTTGATATCTATCTTTCAAGAGTTTTATGTTATATTTTTTTTGGTTTTTTAACATAATTTTATTTTCTATTTGTTAGTTAAGCTTTTTTATTTTAATTTTCCATCTATAAAACAAAATTAATGTTTTAAATTTTGACAGATGCTATTTTTTGGTTTTTTTAACACAATTTTCTTTTCTATTTATTACTTACGTTTTTTATTTTGATTTTTCCATCTGTAAAGAGAAATCAACGTTTTCTATTTTCTGGTCAATTAATTAGAAGTTAGAATTTTTTTAATCTATATTATAAATTAAAACTTTTATGATATTTTTTTTTTCTGTTAGTTTAACTTTTTTGAAAACAAATTTTTATTTTATTTTTAAGGATACTATTTTTTATTTTTTAACATAATTTTATTTTCTTTTTGTTACTTAAATTTTTTTATTTTTTTTTTCCATGATTACATTGAAATTAAAGTTTTAATCATACTTAACATTTTTTATTTAACGAAAATTGTTGATGTGGACCAATCATATCGAGTTTCTTTGTCCTACATGGACTCCCTCAATGCACTATGCCATTAACTTTTATATATTATAGATTTTAAAATGTTATTAGTTTTTAATACTGTTAAAAATTATAAATTTCCAATTATTTAAAAAAGTTTTTGATTTTTTGTTGATTTATCTTATTATATAAAGTTGTATGCGTCACAGTTAGTAATTCACATGATCGCAATAAGTGGCGAGCCAATCGATAAAATTTTGACATATGTTGCAATTAAATTAAAAATAAAAAGATATATTTCAATTAGAAAAGGTAAATAACTTAAAAAACTAATCCGAAAAGAACAGGGAAAATATTATTTGAAAAAAAGTTAATAAAAGAAGATATTTCAATTTGGAAAGGAAAATAAGCTTTTTAAAATCATGATTTGTTCAATATTCTAAATTTTTATCCTTTAAGATTGTTTGCTGAATTATAAAATTAGATGCGCTAAAGTTTGTAATTCACATGTTGTGACACATGGCAAGTCATTTGATCAGATATTGACATGTGTTGCAATTAAATTAAAAATAAATAAATAATATATTTTAGTTTAGAAAAGAAACATAACTTAAAACACTAATCTTAAAAGTAAAAAGAAAAATCTAATTTATAAAAAAAAGTTAATAAAAAGAGATATTTAATTTGGAAAAAAAAAATTAAAATATTAATTTTAAAAGAAAAAGAAAAATACAATTCACGTCTATATAAGCATATAAAATCTCTCATAATTTTTTAACAAACAAAATAATACTTTCCGAGCTTCATTCTATAGGTATAATGTTTCTTCTTTTATTGTATAATTGTTATTAAAACGCTTTATACAGAAAAATACAATTTGGAAAAAAACAAAAATTAAACAACAAAAAAGGAAGGTATTTCAATTTAGAAAAAGGAAAATAAGCTAAAAACTCTAATTTAAAAAGAAAAAGAAAAATACAATCCACATCTATATAAATACATAAAATATCTCATAAGTTTTCATCAAACAAAATAATACTTTTTGAGCTTCATTCTGTTAGTATCAATTTTTTATTATTATTATTAAAACACTTTATAAGGTATTCTAAATTTTTATCAATTATGATTTGTTCGATATTAAAAATAGTGTATAAAATATTGAACTACAAATGAAGTATGGTTAATATTGCTAAGGACCCGCAATAGACTCTGCGTTTTGAATATTTTAATTAAAAAAAAACGAAAATTAAAATAAACAGCTCTTAGATTTCAACTTTATGTTTTTAATATATTTTTATCAAAGATTTGATTTTTTTTTCTATTTTTTAAATTATTTTAACGAATTTAAATTTTTGTTATTATAAACCCGCATATATACGAATCATAATCTAGTAATTTATAAGCATTAACTAGTATTTACCCCGTACGTAGTACGGGAAAAAGAATTTGATATCATTTAACTGAAAATAAAATGTTTAATATTGTGTTTGAATCTATCGATCTAATAATTTGTCATTAGCTTTGTCCATATTCACAGATTAACTAACAATTTAACATATTACGAAGTGCTTTTTAAAATATTTCAAATCTATGTATTTAATAAAGTTGTTTTTAAACATACACACTAAATTAATTATATGTTATTTTTCTATTTCGTATATTTAGTTCGAAGATATGTTGTGCGTTAGATGAGTCGGCTCCGTGATCCATTGCATCTAAAGTTTTATGGCTGCTTCATTTCCTAACTTTTCATCATCATCAATGGTCTTCGAAAGTTTCAAAACAGTAATCCGCTTCGACTTCTCTTGGGTTGCTGGTGATGTGGGCTGAAACTGTGAAGATGAGGCGAGAAGTAGCTATTCAACTCCTGCAAAAACTCAAGGAACAAATCCTTCTTGGTACTCAAAATTTGCATAGCTTCTTGAAACTTCTTGGAGCACGGAAGCTGATGAACGTTTCTTCTTCATTTATAATTTATTTTTAACGTCTGAAACATCGTAAGTTAACAAAGTGTTAAAAATAAAAACCTATAAAGACAATTGCATAATTGCAAAAAAGAAAGTGAACACTGATGAAGGGAGATGAAATCCAGTAATTCGTTCAGTAAAAATATCTACTAAATTTGAGGATAAACATGCAAAATCTCCCATTACAACTGGATTAAATCGGACGTAATTGTCATTTTTCTTTGATTAGTAGACTATGGAAATGATATGTTGATGTGATTGTGAAAACAAAGTTAAAGAATCATATATACATATGAATAGCCGCATATATAAATTTGAAGAACACAGAAAGAGAAAAATAAGTGAAGCATAATGCTTTTTTTCAAAATTCAGATTTTTCTAACTATTCTTAAAAGTTATATTTTGTTTTTGCGAGAAGGAAGACTTTGAAAAATTACCTTTGATAATAATTTCATTGACGGATTTGATTGTTTGAGGGACTATATTTTCTGGCAGTCAAGAGCATATATTAAAGTTCAAAAGTAATGTTCTTTCATTGCATACTGATAAATAGGACGAAGTTGCAAACTGAAACAATTTAATATAGAATGCTAACATTTACCTGTTAATTAATTTTATTTGTCTTATAATTTTTTCATCGTTATCGATTTTGTCATCTTCGACACTTTATATTCTTCTCGCGTCTCGCCTTACCTCTACAATCGTAAATAAACCAATTTCCGTTGATGAAAATCTGGAACATTGAAATTATAGAAACAAAAGTACCAAATTTATTATTTATGTCATATCTAATATCTTACCCTGAAATCTCTTCTAGGTTGATTCTGAGATCTACCAGATCTACTCTTTCTCTGTCGGCCCGATGAAACATGGATCCTTGGTTGAAACTGACAAAACTATACAGAGAAGTGAGGCAGAGGAGTGAGGCATATTTGAGATTCGTTTACCATGAATCAAAATTGAATTTGGTTTGGAACATTCAAAACGGCCTCAAATTTGAATTAGGGATTGAAATCGAAGAAGAGGGAGAATAAGACTTTCATATTAAGTTGTTTAGAGGGAAATAAGAGTATGAGAGAGAAAAAATCATGAACGGTGAAGAAGGATCGTGGGTGGGAGAAGCAGGATCGTGGGTGGTGGCGATAATGTGTTGAAAAACGGTTGATCAATGTTTTTTAAAAAAGAATTTTAATTAACTTTTTTCAAAGATAAAGAAACGATAATTAATTTTAATAAAATAAAAAACACTTGTCGAATGTACAATTGTCGACTGACTTCTGCTTTATAGGTATAAAGATGTATTAGTTTTTATTTGATTTACTTACTATATGTTTTGACACTAAACTGTTAATAATATTTTCTAATTAATTACTTTAATTGGTTTATTTAAAAGGAAAAAAGCTAACACCATTTACTATATACTATCTAAAAATAAAAGTACTGCTTTTGATAACTTTATTCAAAAAGGTTACATATTTGTTGGGTCCACTTTTACCATGATCAATATCGAGGCGACATGTGGACGCTGGATCCCACCAGATAACTGACTTTCTATCACTATGCCTGC